AGCGTTGGACAAGCTTCCAAGGAGAGAGGCACTGTTGCGCAGGCGATAGATCTGAGACGAAGGATGAGAGAGCAGGAAGACGAGCTGGAAGACCAGCGAGCGACAATGATCGGGTTCACAGAGTACAAAACATATGGCATATCTCGTGCCCAGTTAGGGGGGGGGAGGGGCTCCGGGTTATGAACGTATGACGACGGCATTCCTCATTGGTTGGAAAATTTCAAAACTTTCTGGACACAATAATATTTAAGAGTATTGTTATTTGCTGAATTTAGAGGGATAGATTTATACAGGTGACTATCGAACGTACCACATATAAGGCGTATCGAGTGGCATCCCTCAATTGATTTTGCATCGTTGCCACCTCACGACTACAAACATCGCTGTCAGTCGGTCGGGTATAGAATCGGCATTTATTTTCAGGATCTTCGAATTCTGGAAGCAATAAGCGATTTTTGTTCGGCTTGGAAGAGCTGTTCGGCTTGGAAGGGGCATTTGGCACTTTTTCTACATTCTTTCACTAGTTCCTGCCAGATTTACACGTCTCACTTTGATGAACCTGTAGACTCTTGTCAAGCGTAATTCCTTGTGAATAGCTTCGCAAGAGTTTATGTGTCCATGCGCCGCGATATACTCACACTTGGACACTTCAGGCTAGGCTGTCATCGCGTTTTGCGCTTTACATCGCGCTCCCTTGAGGTGCCCGGATGAATTTCGCTACACACCCACCCCCCCCCCCCTTCCCTTGTAGTCCACGGTCAATAGATGCGCGACGAAAACGATGTTTCAAATGGCATCGCGTGCACATTACAGATGTAACTTTAGGACCAATCATGACTACAGATGTAACTTTAGGACCAATCATGACGCCCTCGCGCGGAGTAGCCTAACTTCTGTCCGTCAAAGCAACTCGAATCTTCTGGCCTGACAACCATTTCAAAAACGTTACAAGCAATACTAGTTGAACCACGAACCTCTGAAGCGCACTTGTTTCTTCTTAACGGAACGATGTTCCAGCTCTTCTCGCCATTTGATCCTATCCTTCACACTTAGGGAGTTCTGATCAACATCTGTCAGCAGCTGTAACAACAATGTTGGCGCTAATGAGTTTAGGTGGGGAGTAGCTCCTTGTCTAAAACTGGGATGACCCTCACACAAGGAGAGCTACCGTACAATCATTCAGTAATAAAACTTTTCCAGAGGTTGACAACGAACCTTCTCCTGTGGACGCATACAGGACCGTAGTTTGGGCGGAGGAGGAACTAAAATGATATGCTCGATATTGGACTAACACTTGAGTTTTTTAAAGTAACTCCGAGAAACTGCCAATCAACCAGGAAAAATCAACTACTGAGCCTCCCAGCAGACTTAAGACGAATGGGCACAAAACGCGATGCAAACAGTTTTTACATGCGTCAATGCCCGGAGTCAGGACAGGATATGATCGGGAAAACGAGGTACGACCGCCCCTTAATAAGGAACCCCATCTACGATGTGCCTTGTACAGACCCGCGGACACTGCAGCTACCCCCAGAGCAACCATGTGCACGAATAAACAAAACCCACTTGTATCCATTGGTTTCCGTTCACCGTCCGTTTCCACGGCTCTTCGTTTCGAAATAGAACCTTAAATGGAAATATATATTTTTATAAGCGTTGTCATTACTTTATGCGAAAAAATATCCACAAATTCTGTATTACATCACACTTTAGACAAATACTTTACCATTCACAGAAGCGTAACCACTACATAGAGAGAACTGTGTTGAGGCGATCAGTTGAAGATCTAGGGGTCAGGAGATCTGAGATGAAGAGACGTGACGAAAGAGGCATTACAAGTGAAGTGGAGCCCCAGGCACATGCAATAAAAAAGACAGAAGATAAGATAACAGCGAAGATAAATTAAAGCATGGTGGCTTATCTTCAAGTTTCTATGCGCCACTGTTAAAGGAAGAACCCGCGATTACTCGCCATCTCAGATGGTGGATTAGGGGGTTCCATATAGACGACAAGGGGTTGAGTAACTCGACTGTGAACAAAAAAAAAGAGGATTCAGAGCCGATCGGATTTCCGATCCGTGGGTTCAACAGGACTGATATCCATGAGGCGGGAAAGGGAAGGTGGTGGGACGGAAAAGGATGGTTGATCGATTAGCGGGACAACTTTGTCCGATGCGGTAGGCCTCCGTCCTCCAAATTATTCTTCCAGTTTTTTTGTTTCTTTGCTGACTTTTTTGCCTCGTTATCTATTTGATAGTCTTTTGGGAATCTGCTATTCTCTCATGGGTGAGACCATGATCAGGGCACGTTGGGAATTCCCAGCAATAGTGAGGAAGGTCTTCTTTACTTGGGGGGGGGGGGGGGGGGGGGGGGGGGGGGGGGGGGGGGGGGGGGGGGGGGGGGGGGGGGGGGGGGGGGGGGGGGGGGGGGGGGGGGGGGGGGGGGGGGGGGGGGGGGGAAACGAGAGAAACGGAATGGTTGATCGATTACGGGACAATTACTGTTGTCCGAATGCGTAGGTCCTCCGTCTCCAAATTATTCTTCCAGTTTTTTTTGTTTCTTTGCTGACTTTTTTGCCTCGTTATCTATTGGTTGTCCGGAAAGTTCTCAGCGTTTTGGGTGTTTCACTTTAAACGATCGTAACTTTTTTAATACTCATCGGATTTATCGAAGGCACCATTCGAATCAGCACGCTTCTCAGAAGACTTTTGCCAATCGTGACAGCAGTCCGAGAAATGCCCATAATAAGAAAACTGGCTGGTCGAGAGTTTACGAAATCCACGAAGGACTTTTTGCCTGGTCCTGATTGATGAAGGTATTTTCCAGCAAGGGAGTTCTGAAAATGTTTGAAAAGGTGATAGTCGATTGGCGAAAGGTCTGAAGAATATGGCGTTGAGGTAGAACTTCAAACCCCCAATTCGTTCAATTTATGGATAGTGATTTGTGAAACGTGTGGGCGGGCGTTGTCATGCAAAAGAATCGGACCCTTTCTTTTGATAAGTGTTGGCTGCATCTGACAAAATTTTCGGTACAATTCGTCGATTTCTTCACAGTAGGGTTCTGCTGTGATGGTTTGGCCTGGTGATAAAAAGTTATAGTGGATCACACCAGCCGATGACCACCAAGCCGTGACCAGAATCTTTTTTCGTGAGGGTTCGGCTTTGAAAATTACCTCGGTGGTTCGTCGAAATCCAACCACTGTCCGGAACGTCTCCTGTTATCATACATGACCCATTTTTCATCACAGGTGACAAATCGTTTGTCCGGAAACAAGTCGTTTAGAATTGGCATGCCCCTGGACAATAAAAATTTTGGCGGCAGCGAGTGAGCTGATGTACAAGTCCATGCCAGAGAGTACCAACCTGCTCTTCAAGAGATGGAAGGCGGATGACCTGAGCCGAAAGAGAATCGGGTTTTCGGACACCCTGAAGATGGCTGTCCAAATGATGAGTTCCGGACATGCGGCTGATTCTTTAGGACAATGATTTTACAGTGTGATTGTACTGGTTAATCGCCAGTTCAACGAAATTCTTCTTCTGTTGGGGTCTCATTAGGGCAGGAGGCGTCACCTAAGAAAACACGCATCAGGAATCCGTTTAACAGGGCTACGGTCTATGATCAGTTGTTCAATTGTTAGCAACACCTGTTTCCTTGTTTTTACTAAGTGCTGATGTTATGAGTCTACTTGGGATGCGCCATGCACTCAACTTCCTCTGAGATTCATGGAGACCTATAAATTCGTGTTGTGCCACGCTGACTTGCGAGGGGCCAACGGATGCACCACGAAGGGTTTTTGTGCACCCAGACCAGTCTGTTTCCAGTTGGTTGATACTGTAGGAATGGAGAGATACGGTTGGCCCGCTTGGTAAGCTCAACAGAACGGGGGCAATTCGGATACGAGGGGGGG